CCCTGTAATAGAAAAAAGAAATACAACTCTCCTAGTAAAATCTGGTATTTATTCGATTACCAATAACCTGTATAGGTGCTTGAACTTTGATGTGTTTCGATATTACATTAATAAATTTACTTTTTGAAGAAAAATTGAATTACAATATAATATTGAATATGTATAGATATGTACTCACCTTGTAAAATATACAATCAAACCAACATTGATAATAACAGATATGATCAATAATGTACCTAACACTCCACCAACAATACCTGAATCTAAATACGATAACAAAATTCAAACTCCGTACAAAATTACAGTGTATGTCTCTGCAATGTGTTAATAGAATAATGGCGGGATGATTTTGTACATTTCTAACATCAATATGACTCTATAATGAAAGGGAAGTAACTTTCGTTTGCTTGGTTCTTTTCATTTCCCGAAAGCTCCTATGAAACTTGCATATACACGAGCTTCCTCTTTACCATAAATTATCTTGAAAGCAGATTATGTAGTATTTGTTTCAGAGAAAAGTGTTTTTGAACTTACTGTCACTTTGTACCATAGGACACTGTGAATATTGTGTGGTAGAAGAGATAGTGCTTTCCTCTGGTGCCTGTGTCACCTCAGATGTACTTTTTTCAGTTGTTTGAGTGATAATAGTTGTACCTACAAAATAGTGTTGTATGCAAAATGATCAAGAGTACAAACGGTTGTTACACTTTTTGCTGCGAAGTTAGTTATAAAACATAAATGCGATTTTGAAAGATTTTCATTTTGATTCAGAAATGTCTTATTAGCATATTATATTATAAATGCTGTTAACTTTAATTTATGAATGAATCAATAATATAATCAATTTACCTTTTGTAACACAATCATATTGTATTTTACTGTAAGCACTAACATTGCTACTATTACATATAGTATTAAAAATGTTATATCTACGATATCCTGGTAGTGAACAATTTACATTTCCATTACAACTCTTTACTACTTGTTGTTCATCTGAAGATGGAAATGGTACGAAACAATCATCAGGTTCTTCGTCACAACATGTTGTATTACAATCAGTTTTACCTTCTGTACTATTACATCCTGGTCTATATCCATATGATGTATTTATTATCTGTATTACTAGAGGACTGGGACAAGATAGTCTGTGAGTTGTACATTGTTGACCAGGGGGTCCATAACATACTGTACTTGTATTAGTACTACCTGAAACAGTTTATAGATAATGATACTAATGATACAATGATTGACAGCCATCCAAATATATATTTAACAGAAATATAAGTAAGCAATAAATTATAACATGTGAAAATTACTATGAGCTAAATTAAAACAATTGTTACTGGGG